TTCACAGTCTATACAAGGAGCTAGGATTACAGATGTACACAACCACGTATGGCACAAAGGATTCTTTTTGGACAATGGAATTGTCCTAAAACTGAACTGTGGTGACAATGGTATAATTGTAAATTTATTAAAGATCATTGTTTTATATATTTTAACTTAGATTAAGTATATCTTATGATTTGTAAATTATACTTCAATAAAGCTGTTAAAAACCAATCTATCATTTGTTGAGAATTGATGTAGTAACAAAAAATACTATCACAAGTATCTGAAAGTTATCTTTAAATTTAAAAAAATAAAAATAAAGGCTACATAAGGATAATACTTTTCCATGACTATGACAAAATACCTGAGGCTGAGTACTTCATAAAGAAAACAGATTTAGGGGCTTGGGATTTAGCTCAGTGGCATAAGCGCCTGCTTTGCAAGTGCATGGTCGTGATTTTGATCCCTGGTACCGATAAAAAAAGCAGAAGAGAGAAAGAAAGAAAACAGATTTATTTACTTCATGGTTTTGGAGGCTGAAATTCTAAGGTCAAGCACTCTTGTAAGTTCAGTCCCCACAGAAGCTGAAGTCATTATGGTCAATCCAGTTACTGAATCAGCCGCTGAGACAGGTAACAAGTCATTTGCTGTGAATCATTTCGTTTTGCCTTTGACCCTGACCCTTGCCTTGACAGATGCTAACAGGAAAGAAAAAAGAGGCAAAGGGAATGGGAATAGGGAGCTTTTCTGATAAGCCCAAAGGGTCATCAGATATTAAGCCCCAGCTGGGACAAAGTGAGAAGCCTGAGCCAGTGCCACCAGCCTAACTTCAGAGAGAAACCTCAGCCTCAGGCATCCTCCCCATCCCAGTCAGGCCCCCTGTGGAGTGGCCTGGACCCCAAGTCCCCAGAGATCCCCATTCACTGTGGTGATGCCAGGCCTGACCAATCACAAAATAAAGCACAACTGCCTAAGCGCAGACCAACTTCACCGCCTCCGTCGCAGTGGGGAGACAACCTATGAGATATGGTCCTGCCTGCCCTCACTTTCTCTAATGCCTTCCTCCCCTCTCAAATGAGATTGAAAGCTTTCGCTTCCTACCCTTTCCTGCTGTTCCTGAGTTTATTTATTTGAATCCTGAAGAAACAAAAGCCCCACTAGGCCATTGCTAGCCAGTACGGCCACTTTGTGCAGAGGCATCCCGGCACCCTTTCCCAGGACATTTTGGTGCCATCTGTAGGAATCTTGTTGGAATAAATGCATGACTATCTAGGCTGTGGTACCTTTAGACCTGGTGCATTTTTACAATGTACAACCTGCAGCACCACTGGCCAAGGACACCGGACACTTACACTACAGAACTTCCACCCGCCTAGTTTTAATTTAAAAGCTAGAAAAATGATACATGTGAGTATCTAATGAAAGTTGTAGGCTGGGATGGAGATGCACACACACACACACACACACACACACTGTCTTCTGTTTTGTGTAGGAGGAATGATCTCTCTTTGGGTGCACCAACCTTAAACAGAGCTGAATAGCTGCAGGGCTGACTGCATTTAAGAGCAAAATCTTGGCCGAGCACAGTGGCACACGCCTGTAATCCCAGGACTCAGGAGATTGAGGCAGAAGGATCACTATTAGTTTGAGACCAGCCTGGGCTACATACTGAATTTAAAGCCAGACAGTACTGCATAGTGAGAGCAGCATTTACACCAAGCACCTGCTTGTGTCCTGGCCCCACACTGAAGGGGCGCTTGCTGCAAAGGATACACCCCAAGTGGTGCTCTGGGTCAGTGGGGGACTTGGCTCTCCTCTGGTGCCTTTTTGTCTGCTGTTTACTGAGCCAAACATCCTTGGCCTCAGAACACACTGTAGAGGAACATTCAGTTCCAGATTCGGGCTCTTTGCCTCTCTCTCTGTGTGGTGCGGGAAGCAGGACAAAAGAAGCGAGTTTTTTTGTTGTTGTTGTTTTTTGTTTGTTTTTCTCTCCATAGCTCTCTGCCATTTAGGAAAACCATAATCAGGATGCAGAGGAGCCTTCTGTGGCTGCTCTTGTAGAATTCCCGAGGGCAGGCACTGCCCAGTTACGTGTAAATTATTTGTAAAGTTAAACTATCTGTATCAATAGATCACTATTACACAGCAATCAAAATGAAATCATGTGGCAATAATTTCTGAATCCAACATATATTTAGAGGGAATGTGTGTGTGTGTGCATGTGTGTGTGTGTGTGCACACGTGTGTCTGTGAGTATACTAGGACTTGAATCCAGGAAGTAAGGAGCACTAAGCTACACCCACAGCCTTTTCTTTTCTTTTTTCTTTGTCAGTACTGAGCAGGGCACTGACACTAAGCTACACACCTCCTTCAGCCCTTTTCTGGTTTTGCATTTTGAGACAGTTGAAAAGTTACCCACGCTGAGCTTGAATTTGCAATCCTCCTGCCTTAGCTTCCTGAGTATGGAGGATTAGAGGCATTACCATTGCTACCAGTTTGAGCCAGATATGTATTAGACATACTTACAAATGCAAGGCATCATAGAGAAATATTAAAACTGTATCATTCTTCAGAGCTTTGCTCTTCCTTCTTCCCCATTTCTCCACCTAGTCCTTAATTTTCTTTTGCATATATTTAATAAACCACCTGAAAAATCTTTCCAGAAAGGAAGAGGCCTATCATGAATAAAGACAACTATCAGATCCTGACTTTGTTATTCCTACCTTCCAGCCCGGGTGGAACATAAAATGTTATGCAACAAAAAATACGTTTTTAAAAATAGAATACAACATCAAAACTGTTGCAGGGTATGTCTATAGGTCCAATGAGACATACTGACTAAAATTATTCTAACTTCCCAGTAGCCTTCTGGAAATACAAATACCTACAGACAGAGAGAGGTTTAGAAAAAGAGTTTCCTAGGGGGATAAAATCCTTGGAGAAGCTCTCCATATAGTGACTCCATATAGCGGCCAGATGGACAGATGGAAGGCAAGTTTGCTGAGAAGAGGGACAGAGAGAGCTTAGGAGAGTGTGGGAAAGACAGAAGACAGGTGTAGCAGAGAGCAATGTCAGGACATCAGCCCTCAGCACAGGATACTGGAAAGGAGACCAGGATGCATTGGAGGAAGAACTGAGAAAATGGCCCTGGACTGTGCTCTCGTAGGGGGCTCCAGTTTACCCCACAGCTATACCCCTTCTGAGATGAGGATTAGGAAGACCTCCTCCCCTGGCTCAAGCTGAGGAAAAGAGAACCATTCGGGGATCTCCAAAGGCAAAGTGATGCTGGTTGAAAGTGGGGGCCCCAGCAGCACGGCACTCCGTGTGTCAGGCACAGTGCCTCATATGCATCATCTCTCCTCAGGACCTTGTGAAAGAAGCACAGTTACTCCACTTTTTTAGTGACAAATCTGAAGTTCAAACAGGGTGAGTAACGTCCATAAGGTCACACAGTAAGGGACAAAGTCAGTATTCGAGCTCAGGCTTACCTGACTTAAAAACCCTTGTGTTTTTTATTACCTTCTGTGTCCTGGATGACAAAGCTGGTTTTTGCAACCTGCACTTAAGGTGTGGCTTTACAGAGCCCTGGGCAGAAGCCAGGAGGGGAGGGAGGGCACAGCGGAGGTGATTCTGTCCAGAAGACCTGAGGCTGGCTACACACCCTCAACCCAACCAGGGCCAGAAGCACAAAGTTGCATGGGTACCATGTGGAAGCAGCTGCAAAAGGAAATCAATAAATGTCCTTGATGATTGGGTTAATTTAGTTAATGAATGAATAAAGCAAACAATGGCAGAAGTTACAAACCCCGGACAGCACTAGAGTGGTTAACAGTACAAAGTGGGAAGTCAAACTTTGGACAAGTTATTTAAGCTCTCTGAGCCTCAGTTTCCTTCTCCCTCAAATGGAAACAATGACTATTACCCCTAGGATCTGAAAGATGTTTAAATGACTAATGTAAAGTGCTTAGCAGCACTCAGCCATCTGCTGCAATTTTTATTTAATGATAATCCTTATCATTATAATCCTTATTACTATTATCACTGTTATTACCAAGGGGAATAACGAACTCCAGGAAACCTGGGATGCCTTTTGCTCCAAGCAGAACCCCACACTGGCCCCTGGCCACATATTTTTTTCTCCTTTAGGGTAATTCTAGTTACCTTCTCATTTTATCAAGGGGGAAAATGTCAAAGGGGGATTTGCTTGAACCTCAAGACTCTCATCAAGAGCCTGACACACGGGCTCCCTCAAGGGGCCCGGACACAGCAGCCTGGGCCTGGGGCACCTGCAGGGAGGGGACCTTAAGGACCAGAAGCCCTGTGGTTGGGGCAGAGTTCAGGGGTGGAGCTCCAGAACCCCGAATGCCTTGCTGAAGGCTGATAAAGTCGGTATCTGCACCTGTAGAGGGTGAAAGGCCAGCCACATCTGCACAGCTCTCTGTGGGGATTATTTTTAAAATTCTGTGCTCTCAGAAACCCATGGAAGTATGTTAGATTTCTGCCATAATAGAAACAAAAACCACAAAACTGAACGATCAGAAGAATGGGAAAGGAGGGAATTTTTCAGTTCAATTTCCAGCCCTCTGCTATGGAATGCTTGCCTCCTAATGTTTAAAAGGCAGCAGAGTTTATCCCGAGATTCTCACCTGGAAAGAGGAACAGTCCAGGGAAACAATTGTGTTTTTGTTTTCTCTGGGACAGCAAACGACCATTTAGTTTACAGAAAACAGTCTCCACACCCCTTGTCCTCCACCTCCCAGCACACCCCTCCGGACTTTACTGTTCCCACCCCAGTCCAGAAATTGTGTCGCATTTCTGAACATTCCATCCAAGGGCAGCCACTTCACGACTGAGTCCACTCTGCAGCAACTGTCCTGTGAAGTTTAGTTTAAGTGCCACTTTGTAGATCCTTTTTTGGCTATAAATCTTTCCCCAAACATTTCAGGGTGGGGCTTAGGGGCAGGAAGGAGAAAAAGATGAATTTGCCCCTGAGCAAATTCCCTTTTGAAAGAAAGCTGGGAGAAATGATAGCAAAGCCGTTGGCACCAAATCAAGGAAAGAAAGAGACATCAAGTCCCAAGCCAGGGACCAAGTCCCCAGCCTTGCATTGGCATTGGTGGCAGAAGTGGGAGGAGAAAGGCAGCACACAGATATGCACAGACGGGCTCCACTATAAAAGGGGCAGGTGCCTCCCTGGGGCACCATCTCTGCAGCACTCTCCTCTCCAGCAGAGCCTGGCCGGTCTTTATCAGCCTGCGCCTTCTGCCACTGGCAAGCCACAGGAGGGTAAGTAGCCTCCTCCTTTCTACTAATTTCTAACTGTTCATTGTTGAAGCTTGGCTTCTTAGCCCTCTCTAGTATTTGCTCTTCTTCCCCCCTGTTCTTCACTTAATGGAGAAATATGACTCAGAATGTAAGAACTGGGCAGAAGCACGCAAAATTAGAGTTCTCAAGACTAGAAAGCAATTCACCTAAGTTTCTTCCTGGAAGCTTAAAAGCAACAACTTTATTCGTGATGTCTGAGCAGGTGGTGTGGAAGAGGGCTCTCCACTCTGCATGCTAAATACTTTTGACTTCATTAGCATGTGGAAGTTTCAGGGTGTGCTTTTGCAGCAACTAAGGAAAGTTGCAGACAAGCGTTTATGTGACCCTAGGGGGAGAGGAGGGATGTGAGGAATGGGCCTTTCCTCTGACAAGTATGTGGGCTTTTCTGCTGTGCTGTTCGGAAGGGGATGAAACTGTAGGGAGAACCACTCAGTCACAATTAGAGCCATGAACTTGGCAGCTTCCTGCAACTGCATTTTCTGGCATGTAAAATTTTAGGTTTCTAGGAGGGGTTTCTTCTGAGATGGCAGTGTTTTCATCCAGGCAGGGACAACTGACAGCATTTCCTCTGTTTCTGATTACAGCTTTAAAGAGAGCAGAGGCCTTCCTGCCACTTACAATCAGAAACTACCTAAAATAAAGATTATAGTAAGTATCAAATAAATGTCACTACTGAAAGCTATTTTATTTTGATAGAGCATGAATGTTTCATGTTTTCTTCTATATCCACATCTAAAATTTGTATTATTTTTGAAGTGATACTTGAGGCATGGGAAATTTAAAGATGCTCTGGTCTGTCCAATTGTACAAATCTTTAATATATGCAACAGAATGAGTTTCATTTCGTATAATAAAATAGGAATACCAGCTGCATTGGAGTCTTGATGTTATCTTGTGCTAGAATGTTAAGCAGTGCCACGTTCTTTTAGTTACTGGCTATGAAGCGCTCTTTCGGTCTCCTGCAGGAAAGACTATTAGCTATAGCTTCCAGAATAGACTTAGGCATTAAGCTTCGGCACAAGCAAACCTTGCTGTAGCTTGCCGTGGGTGATGCAAGAGAATGAGACTTCCTTTGAGGTATGGGGAGATGTTTGTTTATCAGAGTAACTGCTTCCTGTCAGGGCCTACGATGACACTGGGGCTGGCAAAGTCCTTTTTTTGCTGTTGGTCAGCCCCCATGAGTACTTTAAGGTGACCACGCAGGCTGATGAGTCTGATACATCTCTGATCCCTGGCCTCTGTTCCCGGATCTCTTGAACAGCTGCTGCTCTCCTCAATACGTGGCATTAACGTGGCATTAATGTGCCTGGGTGGCATTAACGTGCCTGGCCCCGGACTGGAAGATAAAGAGCCAGCCAGGTTTGCCCATACCACAAGGCTCAGTCTGCCTGACACTTGCTGGGTGAATTTGGGTGACCCTCCCTCTCTGAAAATCAGTTTTATAGAAAATGAAGGCTTGAACTGAGTGGTCTCTAAAACCCCACCTCATTCTCAGTCCTTTTCTAATTCTTAGATCTAAGAAAGTACTGATGTTGAGCTCAAGAGTGTGATTCTTGGACTGGCATGTGATTTTGGTGATAGGAGACAGCACACACAGAGTGAGGATGGCAGGGACAGGAATTCACACTGAGAGAATGTGACAGTCCCTGCTGGTTACTTTCTTTCTTTCTTTCTTTCTTTCTTTCTTTCTTTCTTTTTTTCTTTCTCTCTTTCTTTCTCTTCTTTAACCTAGTATAAGATGAGAGTCTGACCTTGGTTTTCTTAACATGCATAAATATTCAAAATGCAGCCCTCAAACATGTTAACTTGGTACATAACTAACCAGATAGATTACCATGAGCCCCTTCCACCTACACACACGTACACATACACACACACACACACACACACACACACACACGCATTTTTTCTTCTTAAAACACAACATAACTTTCTCACAATCACGCACTTTTTTAGTCACTCTGGTAAAGTTTTCAGGTTGCAAACCAAACCAATAGAAGGAAGTAAAATTAAAATAAATGAAAGAGTGAGAAATAAATAAATTCACCAGCAAAATTTTTCTGGAACTTCTGAATGAAGAATACTCTCTTTGGATGCAAATAAAAAAGAAATTATTGCAACATGTCACATTTATTGAATTAAACTAAGAATCATTTATAAACAAAGTAATAGTCAATACTTTAAAATTCTTATTTCAATACAAGAAAAAGTGCCATTTAGCCAGCCTTTTAGAATGGGCTTTTCTGTGCATAAAAAGTGCAGCTATTGCGTATCTTATTAAAGAAATAGAATCCACACCACAATTCATTTTCTTACATTTGATAAAGAACAACACAAAACAAGGCTGTCCTATTTGCTGCCTCAGGGCAGGTGACAAATATGGAGCCTTAACAATTTGCAGGGCGCACTTCAGAGCCTGAAGTCATTCTCTCACCCTGGTGCAGGCTTCAGAAGCACCAACTTCCCACCTTCTGGAAAAGAAGCAGCAGAAACAAGCCTGTACATTGGGCTCTGTGCAACATGGTTTTCCTACTTTTTTTCTAAGCAAAATAAATGAACTTTCCACTCTTGCACCCAGCTCACTGTCTCTCCTCTCTCCCATTGCAAGCCATCTGCCTTGCACATGAGAGGGTCCACGCCGGGCACCCTTCTCTCATAAGAAGCCCCTGGTCATGGCCCCCTTCCCCACCTGGCCTTTCTCACACTCACCAGAGTCAGGACTCATCCTACTGATTCACATATTTTTGCCCTTTGTTATGTATGGAGAAAAAGGATGAATGGACGGTCTTTGGTTGGTGGCGCTGATGACGCCCGTCATGGTCCTCTTTGGACAGACCCTTTTGGAAATAACGCTGGTGAGGCAGACCATGAAGGCTTCGTTCAGCTAAGTTTGGCCCTGATCGGTGGGCAGCAAGAACAGGTATGCTTCCTTTCTGCAGCCTCTGTCTCTGGGAACCCGGGAGCCTGTGCCAAGCATGGCGTCCCTTTTCTGAGCAGACCTGGGAAGTGGGGTCAGCAAGCTCTGCAGAGTGTGGGGCTGTGGCTAAATCAAAGGCAGAGGGAGACTCAGGCTTAAAAGTTACAGGCCAGTCTCTGTGGTGCAGGGCTGGACCACTGAGCTGGGAGTTTTGACAGCCTAGGGACACCAGGAAAACATAGTCTAGGGCTTTTATCTTCCCCCTTTTCAAATTCTTTTTACTGTACTGTCTTCACCTCTCAGTTGAACCGTAATGACTTTTTTGGTAAGGATTGAGTGTTAATTAGGGCCCTCCATTACCTTCCCACATAGAATACGTGGCTTCTTGGTTTCCTAAAGAAATGCAAGTTTTCTAGCTTGATACAGTTCTAGAGTGAACTCCTAACCAATTCTCATGCCTGAAGCAGGTTAAGTATCAAGGCTCTCAAAGACTCCAGAAGAATTCACAATTCAGAATAAAAGAATAAAGGGTTCCTAAGCCTCTGGAATGCAGCTGTTATCTGTTTAAGTCAGGAGAAGCCCCCTCTTCCTATGATATCATAACCTTCCAGTGTATCTAACATGCAGGTATTGGGGGCGCAAATCTCAATAAGCCTCTTTTGAACTGGGCTGGAGATTTGGGTGAAGTCAAGTCTTCACTTAATTTTGAGTGGTTCAGCAGGAGACTCAGACCATTCCGGTTCTCAATCAAGCCTGGCCAGTTATGTTATCAGGTTTCAAATCTCTGTCTCTATAATCTCTAAGGAGAAAGAGTATTTAAAACTTTCTGAAATAAATATATGATTGGAACTTTTGAGAACATGGATTTGTTTATTCTGGAATTTGATTCTGCGGTGGGTGGAAAATGCCACTTTGGTGATCTCTTTTACGGCCGCCACTTTTAGGAATTGACATATTCAGTTCTAGAAACTCAAGGCAATTATGTTTTGGAGCTTCTCATCATTACCTGGGTTGAAGCCCAATGCTTCTCATACCTGTGGCTTTGAAAATGGCTCGCTGAAGCTGAGAGAAAGATTCAGCAGGCAGTATTTTGAATCACAGGATTTAAAGTGAGGTATAACTGAAAAGAAGGAAAGATATTTAGCTTGTGAGACAAAAGGGAATTTTTCGTAAACATTTAATCACCATTTTACATCATTAACTGTGGAATTGCCTCAGTTCCACTGAGACTTAGTTTGGGCTCCTGGCCTTCCAAGGTTTTCAATTTAGGAAAATTTTAATAGGAAGATTCATTAGAAGTCTGACAGATGTTGGTTTCTCATACTGGTTTGCCAAGAATGATCTTAGTCTGGAATGCATTGTATAAAGGGCTCTACAATGATTAATGGTTCACCATTATTTAAAAGCAGGATGGTTAGTTGGGCAATGAATAATACAATTGAAGTATAATTGTTACTCACTAATAAATCAGTACAGTTTATTTCTGTGCTGGAATTAATAGAAACCTAACTTAGAATCAGGATGTATTTTAAAAAAAAAAAAAAACACCTTTATTATCTGTTAATAGCTATTTGTTGGGTTTGGTAAGTGGAACGGGAGGGCCAAAAATAGCCAGGAGCTGTGGCTTCCCCATTCCACATTTATACCTTTTAGAGTCTGATGGCTTTGAGATTTTTCTGTTTCCCACTGACCTAGCTATGCGTAGACTTTTCTTGCACTCAGGGTAGTGTAACCATTGTCTTTGTCCTGTTGCCTACGACTAGGACTTTGCCATTAGTATTATTTTATATTCTTCAGCATTATGATGGACCATTTTTGATGCATCATTATGTTTTGTCTACAGGGGACCATATTATCATGATGTTGGTGTTCTCTTTTGCATACTTATCTTAAGAAATGTAGTCACCTAGTGAGCATGGGTTACGATTATACCACTCTATTTTCTCAAAGTATGCTGCTATAATTATGCCCTGTACATTCTTACATTATAAAATCCTTAGATTATAACTCTGGGTTTTGGCGGCATTGTCCATTTAACCTTTCTTAGTTTTAACACCTCTGTAGATAATTATTCTTGCCTATTTTTACACATGTAAACAATACATTCCAAAAGTAATGACAGTTGTGTGAAATGATGACAAATTCAAGCAATCTTGGACTTGAATAGTAGAGGTGAAGGGTTCTTAGACCGTTGACACAGAAATTATTTTAAAACCTTCTTCCTTTTCAAAGTCTTAAATAAAACTCATATTTTGAGAATATTAACTTAAAATGACTATTTGTCTTAGAAAGTAGATGACCAGTTTGTACTAGAGAGTGGTCACGTCATAAGCTGACTTTTTTTGCTCCTTTGACAGCATAATTACTTGATTTTAGCTCTTTTTGTACTATTATTGGACTTGTTACATTGACATTAACTGTTTTTCATTTCTCTTAACTACACTGAGATCCCTGAGTACAGAAAGAGTTCAATAAATGTATGTTGAACTAGAAACTAAACCTTATATTATAGCCCAGAACCTTCTCATGCTGTATAGCATTGAAGATGTTGGTGACAAAGTAGTGTGAGGTCTGGGTATGGATAATAATCTCCATGACAGTATTTCAGGAGAAAATCGGCACTTTCTTAGTTCCATGAGGTAGCACAACGGTCCAGATGAATGCCTTGTTACTCATCTTTTGTGGGTACTGAGCAAGTCCTAAGCTGGTCAACCTGAAAAGTTCTGCATTAGGGTATTTATGAGCTCTGTATTTCCCTCAAGGAACCAGAAGAAGAAGGAGCCATGGATGATACCCCCACAATAATTAAAATAGACCAGACTGAGAGCCAGGTCCCACCACATCAAGGGAGAAGTTGTATCCCCAAGGCACTTGGCTACGTCACCGGCGATATGAAAGAATTTGCCAAATGGCTTAAAGGTGTGTAGGCGTGCATCCCTCGGAGAAAGGGGAGAAGTAGCAGTGCAGGAAATGGTTAGCTGACATTTCCATGCTTATATAATATCTTACCCTCTGTTTTTCTACTTTTTATCTTCTAACTTGCAAACTCCTTCACTTTGCTTCCTGGGAACAGTCGTAAGGAGCAAGGTTCTACTCCTATTCAAGGAAATTACCTAGCTCTATCTTGTAATTTCAGTATTAAAAATGAAGTTTTTACTTGGTAAAATTTTATTAGCAGTGGGGGCTGGGGATTTAGCTCAGCGGCACAAACGCCTGCCTTGCAAGCAGGCAGTCATGAGTTCGATCCCCGGTACCGATAAAAAAGAAAAAGACAAAAAAACCTTGTATTAGTAATAATTCATGTCTTTGGTTTAGCAGTGTAAGCATAGTGAGTGTGTTAGATACTTCCTGAAGCTTAGGGGCCGGTAGGGGCAGAGCTGATTGAGCATAAAGAAATTAAGCGACTTCGGGGATCTCTGTGCCATTAAAAGGGCCAAGGATTCAGAGGAAAGAAGATTCTAAGTATAAAAAATGATTCACATTGAGGAGATTGCAATGATTTTATCCAGGGTGGCCGTGGAGGGGAGCCTGAGATTCAGGGGTCCTACTATTTCTCAGCTGTGTTCGCCTCATCTCTTCCAGACAAACCTGTGGCGCTCCAGTTCGCTGACTGGGTTCTTCGGGGTATATCCCAAGTGGTGTTCGTCAGCAACCCCATCAGTGGGATCCTGATCGTGATAGGACTGCTGCTCCAGAACCCATGGTGGGCTCTCAATGGCTGTGTGGGAACAGTGGTCTCCACTCTGACAGCCCTCTTGCTCAGCCAGGACAGGTAGGCACATCCCTCTCTGCCAGCTCTCGACCCCCTTTCTGAGACACCAGCTAACCGGCCACTGTGGGTAGTGGTGACAGAGCCACACCCTGCCCAGCAGAAGCTACCTTTATTCCACAGAGCTCTTCCTATTTGCCTTGAGTCAGAGGCTAGGGAGTCATTTACAGTCTCATAGTCTCACTATCTGAATAGATGGCCAGGTTAAATGATGCCGGTTTCTCATGGCAGTGTGTGGAAGCCAGAACCAGGCTATAAGTAATCACTGGAAGTGGTTCTAAAGAGATCTTCTTTAATGATCATGGAAATTACTTTTCATTAGTGTTTGATTTATTGGGGCAAAAATGCATATGAATTCTTGAAAAGTCTTACTGGCTAATAGCCTGCTTTATATCTTGTTTCCATCATTCATTTATCAAACTCATTCTTCAGAGAATACAAAAGGTCGGCTCAGCTCCTAGAGCAATGAAAAACCAAAAATTCCAGGCTTGTTCTAAGACCACGCCATACACAGTAGTCCTTCACTGTTTTAATCCGGTGAAGTATGACCAACCCCATTTCCTTGGCAGACATTAGTTAAAAGACGAGTCATGTTTATGTGTGTTTGCTTTCAAGTCTCTTTTACTTTCCTTGTTCCTAAAAGACTACATTTAAATGACAACGCAAAGTAAAAATGATTTAGAGGACAAAATGAAAGAAACAGGGAAATAGGCTTTGTAGAGATATGAAACGGAGCTTGGAATTGGCGCTATTAGAGGGAAGAGATGAGAAAGGAGAGTAAAAATAATCAGTGTGCGATATTTACATGTACCAACATCCCAGCATAAATATATTCATTATGTATTGCAAACACACACTTATAAAAAATTTTGATGACAATTCTCACTGGGTGTAATCTCAGTCCTCTAAGAAAGTGAGGCAGGGAGGATCACAAGTTCAAGCTCAGCTAGGGCAACTTAGCATCTTGATGAGATTATCTTTAGAATTTTAAAAATATAAAAGGGCTAGAGACGTGGCTAAATGGAAAGTCCCTGGGTTCAATCCCCAGTGCAGTTTTAAAAACAAAAACAAAAAAAGATAAAAGATAATTGTGTTTAAGTGACTACTTGTCTTCCTGTCACTTCGCTTTGACTGTGGCATTCTACAACTTGTAGATGTCACCATCCTGTTTCAACTAATCAAACTCAAGCACTAAAGCTCCAGACCAGTTGTGTGGGAGGACAAGTCTTTGCAGAGCTCTCCACCGTCATCAGGTTCAGCTCCAGTATCTGAATTATACCGACACAAATCGCATCACCTCCCACATTCTCTGAGGGATAATTTAAGGGAGACAAAGGCCCTTGGGACAATGAGTCCCACCTCTAATGTTCTCACAGCCATCAGTGGACCCAACCCCACTTTATCTGCCGCACTGGTGTCTTCTGACCCAGGCCCAAACAAGCCAAGAAGCCCCTATGCCACCCCCTTCCAGCCCCTGCAGCGTGGCTCCCTGGCTGCAGCCCCTGCCCGCAGGCTTTGCACTCAACCTCACCCACTCATTTCATCATCCTCTCCCTCCACGGTGCCTGCAAACATTGCCTTTGAGTTCACAACTTCAGGGAATAGAACCTGTGGTGCCAGACAGTGCCACCAGGGGAGGGGCGTAGCCATGGGACTTACTCTACAGACATATTTCCATTGGTCATGGTTTCTAGTTCTCATTATGCAGTCAGAATCATTATGGCCCAAGAGCAATGTATCATTATGGCCAGTCTTTTCTGTTTTTTTTTTTTTAAGTAATTCAGTTTGTTGTCACATTTTAGGTACACATAATGATCATCACATTCATTTTAGGGAATTTGTGTCTGTACGTTATATATTTTGATCCTTTTATTTCCCCTTTCCCATTCCCTCCCTTCAGTACCTCTTCCCCTCCTTATTTACAAAAGCTTTGTTTCCATTTTTCCTCTTTTTCTCATTTTTTTTTTGCTTTTTTTCCTTTCTTCCTCCCCACTCCCCAGTTCCCCTTCCCATGTGAACAATGTCTTCCTAATTCACAATATCTATTTTACACTTTGGTCCTTATTTACATTTTCACTTTCTCACACCAGAGACATAATGCAGTATTTACATGTATGTATCTGATTTCTTTCATTAAAGAATAGGTCTAAAGATCATGCTTCTTTATGACTGAATAGTACTCAATTATATAAAGAAAAACGCGTCTTTTTAATAACTCCTCAGTTTATGGGCATTTGGGTGTTTCCAAGATTTAGCAATTACAAACTGTGCCACTATAAACATAGGTGTGCGTATATTGCTCTACAGAACAATCTTTAGAAGTGAGTTGGGGTAGAAATTTAGCTCAGTGTCACAGAACCTGCCTGGCAAGCGTGAGGTCCTGAGTTCAATTCTCCACAAGCCCCCCAAAAATAAATAAAAATAGAAATGGGGTCAAGTTCCAAACAGAAAATAGTTTCAAAAGAGTTAGGGGCTAAACATGTAAATGATTATGCACCAAGTAAAAGAAAAGTAATTATTTCTTTTTTTGGCAATAACTTGGAAATGTAACTTTAGAGGCAAAAACATAGAAGCACAGGAACATGAAAATATATGCTAAATTGGAAGATTAATATTTATAGGCACTATGCAAGGGAAGTTAAATTTCAGGAATCACATATCTCTCACCAAAGAATCGGACTTAGGGAACAGTTTCATATGCAAAAACTCTATTTGACTCAGAGACCCTTAATGACTTAAATAAATAATAGAACTTTCCAAACGAAAGACTGAAAGCAGATGCTGGAGACCTGTTCTTTGCTGTGTCACCTTGGAGGCGGTAGTTCCGTATGTACTTGTGTAGCTTTAGTTATGTATATTTTATTTCTCACTTTTATTAGTATTTGCATGGTGCTTAGTAGGCTTTGAAGCACATGTCCAAATATTATTTCATTTTCAAATGCAAATGTGATCTAAAAGTTACAAGTGTTATTAATGTGCAAGTGTAATCCGAGTGCCCTTAGCAATGTCCCTGTCACATCTCTTGCTCACAGGTCAGCCATAGCCGCCGGGCTCCATGGCTATAATGCCACGCTGGTGGGGATACTCATAGCTGTCTTTTCGGACAAGGGAAACTATTTCTGGTGGCTCCTATTGCCAGTATCTGTTATGTCCATGACTTGGTAAGTTGTACTTGGTTTTCAAAATGTCTTTTTAAAATTATGGAGGGAGAAGGGAATGAGAAATTGCTGTTTTGTAAGTTTTCATTTTATAAAATCAAAAATATTCTGTGAGTGAATCACTATGATGAATGTACTTAATGTTGTCAAACTGCACACTTAAAATAGCTACATGGTAAGTGAACAAATTTTTAAAATTGTATTCAGAGCCAGGCATTGTGGTACATGCATTTAGGCCCAGCACTGTGGGAGGCTGAGGCAGAAAAATTGCAATGTTGAACCCTGCCTGGGCCACTACGTGACTTAAAAGAGACTGTTGCAAAATAAAAACTAAAAGACTGGGGAGTAACTCCATTGTAAAAGTGCGGGGTTCTCCCTAGAAACAAACATACAAAAGTGTGCCTTTCCTTACAGTCTGTTATTTTGGCCTCTTAGCCATACATGTCCACAATGCCTTCCTCTCGTGGGGAGGTTCTCAGCCTTGACTGCACACTGAGCTCTCCAGTGCCTGTGACATGGAGCATGTCACACAGATGACCAACAAGGTTCTGATGGAATCAATCTGGGATTTTGCCAACACACTGGAGTTTTAAAATTTCCTCATGGGCTTGAAGTACAATTAAGTTATCATCCCTTCCCTACATCAAAGTTCCTCAAACTTATTAAACACATATAGGTGCTTCCTCCCTTCAAATTTCTGTATCAATCTGTTGGCAGTGGGGCCTAAGAATCTGCATTTCTATTAAATCCTGACAGTTATACTGATGTGGTTGGTTCAGGAATCCTGCTTTGAGAAAAGCTGCCCTTACACAAACTCCCCTAACCCACCAACTTGAACCAGCATCAGTTTTATTCACCTGTACCAGGGACTGAACTGCATCTGCAAGCTTTGTATTTCTAATTTTTATTTTAAGTAAACTAAGTCACTGCAGTACCCAAGCCAGATTCAAACTTGCAATCCCACTGCCTCAGCTTCCCAGAGTGCTGGAGCATCATCTTAAGTCCTTTTTCTAGAAGCAAACATTTTCATTTTTCTATGTCATATTTATAATATTAATATGCACACAAGTGGAAAGCACGGACCTTGATAGACAGTGACTGCAGAAGGCCACCCACCTTAGTTGCACCTAGAGATACCCCAGGAGGCAACTTGTGACCTTCTGTGAAGAACAGGCTTGAGAGAAAGTCAGTGAGTGCTCAACGTATAGCTCAGGAAATCTGAGATTATTTCATCTTAATTGTGTGGACAAGTGAGAGGAACGTGAAGCCTGGCGACCATTTATGCAACCCCAAATCGACAGGCTGCGAAACTTAAGCCAACTGCTTTGCCTAAAGTAATGAAGTTTATCAACTGTTCAAAGACATAAACTCTGCTCCCTGACTAGAATATCTTTTCCCTTTGTGTTAGTTACTTTTCTCCCATTGCTGAGACAAAACACCCAATGCCCAGAATTAGGGAAGGAAAGGTTTATTTAGCTGACACTTTGTGGAGGTTTCAGTTCATAATCAGCTGGCTCCAAGACAGGATGATGTGGCACAGGAGTAACAGTTCATGGCTGTGGAAGACAGCAAAAGCAACAAGAGAAGAAAGGGGATGAGCGAGAGAGTAAGCCTCTTTCCCTCCCTTATACTGTATGCAGGCCAGCTGCCCCAGGGCAGTGTAGCACCCAAACTTGTAATTCAGCACTAGACAATGAATCAATCACAAACTCCAGAAACCCTCCCCCATGCATGCATGAGGCTTTGGAGGGACATCCAGACACAAATCCTAACACCTTTCAATCCACACTACCTGAATCCTTCCTTGAACAATTTTTCCAGAAATTAGATAAGTAAACTAAAAGACATGTGACCTGATATGCACCAAATGCCAGATCGTGGTCACTGCTAGTGGGGAGAAAGTGAATTATGATGAAGTAATGTTTACAGGCCACCTTGACTGCGTAGATAGTGTTTTAAGTGCTTCAAAAATATTTTTTAAACCTTGATAAATAATACACTCTAGGTAACTTAAAGTTTTCAAAACGCAAAAGGCCTGGAGCAGGGTTTGAGGTCTTATTTTGACACAATTGTCTCTATATTAGGACTTATGTTTAGGACTTTTCTTCCCACTGAAAGAAAACCATAATACTTGAGGGCCACAGTGGCAGATGAAACAAAGCTCTCCATGGTATAGAGACATAGTTAGTCAACCTGATTCTTCATCACATACAGATTTTTGTCCTCTTTTCCATTGCAGCCCCATTTTCTCAAGCGCATTGAGTTCAGTGTTCAGCAAGTGGGATCTCCCTGTCTTCACTCTCCCTTTCAACATGGCATTGTCAATGTACCTTTTGGCCACAGGACACTACAATATATTCTTTCCAAGTCAACTGATCACGCCTGTAAGCAGGGTCCCCAACATCACCTGGTCTGACCTCAGTGCCGTGGAGGTAAGACACACTCCCTGCTCATAGTCCCCTCTACCTCTGGAATACACCCATGTCCTCATGTCTTCAATGCCTTTCTGCCTTCATCTTGCTATCCAAAATATTTGTCCTATTCCAGGGCTTTGGGGACCTAAGGGATTCTTTTTGGAGACAAATTCTCACTGTGTATGAGACTAGCCTTGAACCCACTATATAACCCAAGCTGGCCTTGAACTCTCGGTGATCCTCCTGCCTCAGCAGTGCTGGGATTAGAGGCAGGCACCACTATGCCTGGCTCCAAAGGGATTTTCTTACATAACTATTTGATCAAAGCTAAATCCTCCATCCTCTTTATCCAAAAATCTGCTGTATTGATTCCAGGGTGTAGCTCCATGTAAGTCACACTGATACGAGCTTCCCCTTGTATGGGTAGTGAGGGGGTTCAGCACACTAGGCAGCTGGCCTCTTATCTGGTGTTAAACCTTTCACAACTAACTCCCTAGCCCAAGGAACTGTATGTTTACTCTTGGAGTTCATGGCAACCTCAGTTCTGTCATTTCTTATGGTGTACATCATTGAATAAGTACAACTCAGGCTGCTCAGCTTTGGTTGCACCAGAACCACCTGGAAAGTTGCTTAAATAGCCAAATGGGCTCCATCTCAAACTTCTAAATCATAATCTCTGAAGGTGCAACTTGGGAACCTGTATTAACAAACTCTTCAAATTGTGATATGGACCAGAGTTTGAGAACCATTTTATCACAGCATGCACCTCTTTTCAGTGGGCATAGAGAGAGCTCGTACTCTTAAAAACATGGTTAACCACATCAAACTCCAGCTCTTCCTGCTGGTGTTTATGTAGAAAATCTGCTTAAGTTTTCTTAAGCCTTGAGAACAAGAGAATACTTGAAGTCAGCAGCAATCAAAGAAGCTTTACCTTTTTTAATGTGCAAAGGACTGGTTCCTCCACTATCAGGTTACTAAACACCCTTTGCTGCCCTCCTTACTGGGTGATCAAAACACAGGACAATCTCTCATAGCCTTTGCTTGAGGGTTTTTGCCCAGAGAATGAATTAGAAATAGTTCAAAGGCAAAATCAAAGATTTATTAGAACTACTCATGAAAGATAGTATTATGAAGTGGGATGAACCCACAACTATGCTCTCTTACATGGTAGCCACTAGTTCCACGTAGTTATTTAAATTCAGATGCAAATCAATTACAAACTCAGTTCCTCAGCCTCACTAGTCTCATATTACCTGCTCAGCAAGTAATGGTTTCCACTGCACTAGACAGCACGGAGCATATACACTCTGCTGCTGTCATGGAAGTTGCTGTTGGGCTGTGCTGACCTGGGGCAGGAGAAGGTCAGCCATAGGCCGAAGGTCACCCTTTCCTCACTATGAACCCATCATTAACATTTGCCATAGCACCCACCTTCCTTTCCCTTGGCCACCTGAGGGATAGCTACACTATCAAGTCAGAGACAAAACCCTGTTCAGTCTCTGCCTGTGTGAATTTGCCTATAATTGCTCAGGTGTCTGGCCTTAGCACAACCAAACTGCATAAAAGTAAGTAATATTTCTACTGACCATAGGGATATGTTGATTAAGTACTCTCAGTACTGGGGGATAGTCAGGAACAAAGAAACATCAGCTATGGTTCCTGCCATCCTTTGGGAAGGGCTTGGCGGGTCCTCAGAGACAAAAGCACTGATACCACACTTGGAGCTCTGTAGTGACCGAGGCCAAGAGTCAGGGCGGGCAGGAGAGCTAATGATTGCCACCCCTGGCAGAAGCATGCTCGGGAAAGGGCTGGTGTGCCTCCAGGAATAAAGCTGAAGACTGAAGAATGGCTGTGATTTTTTTTTCCTGTGATTAAAAAAGAATCTTAAAAGTTAGTAATACTGATACTGAAAGATAAACTATGACAAATCTGATCTGAATTTGTGTGTATCCTGGAGCTTTCTGTTCAGTTTTAGTTGTCTCATTCATATACTTGTTTTTGCAGCTACTGAAATCCCTGCCAGTGGGGGTTGGTCAGATCTACGGCTGTGATTACCCATGGACAGGGGGCATTTTCCTGGTTGCCATCCTAATCTCCTCCCCAATCATGTGCCTGCATGCTGCAATTGGATCATTGCTGGGGGTGGTAGCAGGTAAGCACAAGACTGATCACCAAATGTTGTAGCTCCTCTGTCCCACGCATGATCTCAGGCATCTTCTTGTACACCAGACCTTTCTTGAAGACTGTAATTCCTAGGTCTCAATAAGATTCTGAAGATGCTTCCCTGGGCCCCACAGTCTCACCCCAGACTCACTCCAGAGCACCTTGCTTTTTGTCCAATCTCTGAGCACTCCTATCTCACCTAACAGGACTCAGCCTTGCAGCTCCATTCAAGGACATCTACTCTGGACTCTGGGGTTTCAATAGTTCTCTGGCCTGCATTGCGATTGGAGGAATGTTCATAGCACTCACCTGGCAGTCCCACCTCCTGGCTCTCGCCTGTGGTGAGTATCCCACACACACAGTGTGGGGAAGGTTGCCCAGGACTATGGATCAAAATCAATGACAAGCAATAAAAGAGCACTCCGTGAGAAATTAAAGCTACAGTTCCAGCTTAGGCCACTTGCTATCTAGGTATATGAAGAAGAACAAGACAAGTGATGTTCCCTCTCTGAGAGTGCTAAAACCACCTTTGCCTACCTCACTAGTTATTGTGAAGATAGAAACATTTTGGGTCCTATTAACCATTTTATGCTATGTATATTTTGAAAGATAGACACTTTGCCTGTCCTGTGTTTTCATGCTTATTGTGTGACCCAAAAAATCTAAAAGGAAATAAGCTAAAAATACACAGCCACATTTCTTGGTGAGTCAGGAGAAATCACATGTGTGTCTTTGAGAATTATCTTAATACGGCTGTTCTCAAACTTGAGTGTGCACCAGAAAATTGCCTGGAATGCTTTTGTTAAAACAGACACTGTTGCATCTTTAGCACTTCTTTAAAAGCATTTTGTTATTTGGAGAAAGGACCTTGCTAAGTACCTAAATTGCCCAGGCTGGGCTCAAACTTGTGCTCCCCCTGCCCCAGCCTCCCAGAGTGTTGAAATTACAAGCATGCAACACCATACAGACTTTGATGAGTACATTAGAGTCACTTGGACAGATCCTTGATAATGTCCATTGAGATCTTTGCCTTAATCGCAGCTGCAAAGTCCCTTTTGTCACGTGAGGTAGCATCACAAATTCTGGGATCTGGCATGTGGGCATATTGGCATGGGAGGGGGCATCATTCTGCCTCCTGTACTTACCTTCTTTTGGTAGATCTTTATTAGCATAGCACAATGGCGAAAGCAATATGTTGAACTAGTTAAAATCCCAGGCCCTGCTGTCAGACAAACTGGAATCCAATCGCAGCTCTTGCTTATTAGCTTAATGAATCTAAGAAAATTACTTAATATTTCTGTGCCTCAGTGTCCTCATTCTAAAAAATAGGGATGATGATACCTACCTCATAGAATCATTCTGACAATGTGTACATAAAGCATATGAAATATAATGTCTAGCACTTGGCACTATTTAAGGGTTTTGCACATTTTTTTCTGGCAGCTTAGCATAATTTACTAAAAATTAAGTTTGTTTATTATTTCTTCTCAATTTCTTAAGTTTATCAATACCCAAATATGACTATACCTTCTCCTCTTTTTTTGTCCTCCTGGAAAGGCTTACTTTTCCAGGCTTACAACTACTGAAATTGTGTTGCTGTTGAGTTTTGGATTTGTTATTTGCACAGTTTCTTGGATTTGTGTGCACAGTTTCTTGTTTATTTTTTGGTTTGGTTTGGTCTGGTTTCGGTACTCGGCATTAAAGCCAGAGCTGTGCACTGAGCTCCATCCCCAGACACATCCTCTCCTCTTTGAGACAAGGTCTCACCAAGTTACCCATGGTGGGCTCAAACTTACAATCTTTCTGCCTCAGCTTCTCAGAGTGCTGCAATTCTAGGTATGTGTCACCATACCTGTTAAAGTTTTGTGATACTTACTCATTTAGAAAACCATAAACTTTATTAACGTGTGCATTCACCCCAACCCACCATAGCTTACAGCAGCTTTCTGTATTTATGTGCCTTCTTGCTGCATTCTTCTTCAAAGAAGGTCTTGTGGGGAAAACTTCTAAAGTCCTGTATGCCTGATTTGCCTTGGTTTCACCCTTATTTAAATTTTAATTTAACTTGTGAGGAAAAAAACCCTAGACTTAACTTTTTATATCAATATTTTGAAAACTGTCTTCAAAGACTATTCCACTATCTTCCAATATCCAATATGCTATTGAGGTATCTGAAAAGAATCTAATTCTTGTTAGATGTGAATTACTTTTTTCTTTGTACGCAGAATACTGTCTTTGAATATGAGACATACTTTTTCCTATTGTCTATCTAGATGTAGGTTTTGTTCTTTTCCTATGCTATCAAAGTCTTTTAAGTGTGAGTCCTTGAATCTTCTTTTAATTTTAAAATACTATGTTTTCACGTTTTCAAATCTTTTCTGTCTAATTAGTTTTCTCTCTCCTTTTGGGATTCTATTATTTGAACCCTATGCTTATGTTCATTTTTCAGGATTCTTGACCTTTTCTTAGTATTTTCCAGCTCCAGTTTAGTTAATCAGATTATGTTTTGGCTCCATCCATTATACCAATCATGTCATTTACTGAGTTCTTCATTTTTGGCTCATTAAGTAAGCTTTATCTGCTGTAAACTGTATTTTCCTTTCATGATATTTGCTTTCTTTAGGTGTCCACTTTCTTCGCCCTGGGAACTTGCTTTCCTAGTGAAACCAGCTGTTTGAGTAATGAATGTATCAGTGGGTCATAGAAGGTAGGGCCGAGCTAGCACCCCTTCAGTATGTCTGTGCGGTCAGGAGTGGAGGGCTCTACCTGGCCGGGTGTGGAGGCTCTACCATTGGAGGCAGTAGAGATAGCCACACTGTAGTTGCCTTACATGACAAATCCCTGCTTGCTAGAGGAAGTTTACATGGCTTTTCAGTTTGGAACCATTTGCAATGAACATTTCTGGTACAAATATCCCTGTATATTTTGTTCAAGTATTCACATAATAGGTATTTCTAGAAGCTAAAGTGATGATTCAAAATGAATCCAATTTTAGTTTCCATAGATGCCAGATCCATTCCCCCAAAAGAGCCGCATCAGTTTCTGCTGCTGCTGGCAATGTGTTAACACGTCCCCAATGGGTCCTATCAGACTTTTTCATCTCTGCATGTAAATTTTTGAGACAGACCCTCATTCCTTTTGTAAAACAAGTCTCATATGTAAAGTATCACAGCAAGTTTCAGCTTGCCTACATCACTCAGACACTGCCAAACAAAGGGCCAACCTTGTGTGGCAAGGTGAATAAATAACAGGCCTTGATTACAGAGGACTCAGGAAACTTACAGCACCAGGCAAAGCTGCCGACCCTGCCTCTAGATTGCGTGGCCATGAAAGGCCCCAATTCATTATGCTATCTGTGGACACCATAAGCACATTCTATCTACTGTCGATACTGGTTTATTAGAATAAGACTCGTGTGATGGTCCATGGGTAGGGACACCTTCCACAAGAGTTTAAGTCCAGTCTTTCCTCTCTGCTCAAGGGCATTTTCTCTTCCTTGCCTGCCAAAAATTTGGTCAGGAAATGACCTATAGGCTGAGCATAGCATGCAGAGGTTTGCCTCTGCTGTAAGGCTTCCCCAGCTTTGCTAGCAAGTGCAAAAGAGTGAACAACTACCTTTTAATAGTCTCACACTGTTACTGAGAGAGAAAAGCAGCTTCAATTAGAGATCACTCCAAAACAGCCTAATAGTATGAAACCCAGTTGCCGAAAGTGTGCTGTAGAAGTCCAGTGGGCACCGAAAGGAGAGACTGGCAATAAGGTCTTGTGTGTTCAGAGGCAGTGCAGCAGTGGAGCTGGTACGCAGAAGAGCAGGGATGGAGGAGTGCATCTGGTGCTTAGCACAGGGCCAGTGAATAGCTGCTGAATAGATGGATTATATCTTAAAAATGAATGAAACTGATGAAAGCAAGGAGGAGGGAAAACTTTCAACCCATGTCATGAGCTCCTGCTGTTCAGAGCAGCAGCTCTATCTCACAGTGATTGGGACCCGTTTACCACCACTGTTGAGGGAAACATGTTTTCACTGGAGATTCATCACCTCCCTATAAAGTAGACTTTCAAGTTGCCTTTTTCTAGATGACAAAACGGGATTCTGAAAAATTGAGTGATTTGTTATACAACAAACAGAGTGGCAGAGCTGGAATTTAAAACCAGGACTGTTTCCAAAGACCAGCCTTTCCCACTAGTATGAGGCAACTCAGATAAGAATTCATTATACTGTTGATTAGGATACACAAGGGAATATATATGCATGCTCCAAGTAAATAAAAACAGGATGTTTACTCACTGACTTGTATTCCAACCTTGGAAACTGTTATTGAGGAAATGTTATTGTGGGTAAGGATCTTCATTTTTGTTAGGTTTGTGCTGTTTTCTGAGTCCTTGCTTTCTCATTTCTATATGCCATATTTTTCTGTAGCTATGCACTATAACCATTAAAATGCAGCTCCTAAATGTAGTGAGGTTGTATAGAAACCAGGCCAACTCCAGAGTTTGTTGGTTTCACTTAAATTTGATTATGCTTAACAAAGCAACAGGGGAATGTACTTGCTATGAAAGGCTTTTCCCTTAAGTATGAGCTATCACAACAACAACACAGTACCTAAAACTATCTGTTGCGCATTTATTGTATCTAAATATAAACATTCACATAATTTAGAGATAATCCCTTACTTCCTTTGTGTAGGCGAGGACATAAAAGCTTAGGACAGAGTCCAATGAACTCCTAAGGCAAAATCTGAACCCAGAGCTACTGAGTCTAAGTTCATATTTTAATTAGGCTTGCAAGTTAGCTGATGGAATGTAGAAGAATACCTCAGAGGAGATTTGTATTGAAAAGCCTTTGCAATGATTCTGAACATTAACTAAACATTTTTCTCTCCCCCATTTTTTCCCCACAGCCCTGTTCACTGCCTGTCTCGGAGGCACCTTGACAAACCTAATGGCTCATGTGAGTTTGCTTCAGTTTAATTTTATCATCATGTGATAGATCAGCTTTCAATTATATGGAAAACTCTCTTGAAATCTACTTGGGTGGTGAGCATCAAGCAAGAGGACCCGTAACTAACTAGACCTCCTGCTATGGAAGCTCTCTGGCCCCTCTTGCTTTCTAACATCACAGTAAACTACATTCACCGTGCTGGTTACAAATATCAGATTACTGGGTTAAAACAGTAACTTTAAAGATACTTTATCTATAACGGTACAACTTACTATTAAATTCATAGACTAATTCTGAATGTCTGGAAGTGGACTATAAAAAATCATTTTCTTTAACAAAAAGCCAGAACTGTGTAGTAGTTGAGATATTAGGATAAAAGGATAGTGGACTAAAGACCCAAATGTTATTATTGTTCTTTTAAATCTAATCAATAATTTTTTATACCTCATATCTTTATTAAATCCCAAGTCAGTCATAAATAAGGCTTCTCAGTCCCATGTTCTGGCTGGATTTTTAGGCAAAATCTCTCCCCATTAACTGTCCCCCGCCCCTTTTTCTCCTTCCTTTCCAGTATTGTCCTCCTGCCCGCTAATGTCTTGCCCCTTCCCTGAGGAGCCCAGCCCCCCCTAGCTGGTCTAGTACCCCATATCTCCCAATGCCTGAACTTCTTACCTTCCTTCCCCACCCTTGCAAGAGATGCAGAGCCAGTTTCTGGTAGCCCAATTCCATGTTGGTGGTTCACTGTTGGTACTGAGTCAGGGTGATGTCTGGATTTCTCAACAGAAGCCTAGACATTTTATCTGGAAGTGTCTTTATGGACATTTAGTATATTTATGTTGGGAAGTCAAGGTTCCATGATATGAGGGGTATTACATCAGAGCTTTATGGAGCCCTTCACATCCCAGCAAATAAAGTTCAAAAATATCAGTACATGGAACAGAACTGCAAAAACTGCACAACTGAGTCAACTAGGAAGATTCTGAAAAATATAGATCCTTAGGTGCTATCCCTTGTTGTTCAGACAGAGTGGATCTTATAAGATGTATAGATCTTATGTTCTGATGCACAGTCAGGTTTAGTAACCCCCATACTCCATCACACCCCATGGAGTTCATGCATAAGACCAAAACTAACCCATGGGGTATACACAGAATTGTGTGAGCTACACAGAAGAGGGACCATCCTCAAGAAGTTCAGAGTCTATTTGAGAGACATAAGGGCACAGTGTAAAGCAAGACTAAGTGGAAGTCAGGATCAGAGAGGTCACCAAAGCCTAGACTAATCAGAGAGGGCCTTGTGGATGTGATGAGTATCCAGGGTCCTTTAGCAATTCGCTAGTGTCATCTCCATGTGCCAACTGTCATCTGGAGAAACAAGCCCAAATGTTTGAGGAGGAGGAAAAGTACACAAGCTAGAGACATAATTGGGTGAAAATATTTCAACTGCTAAATGTCCCAAGACCTAAACTAATCCCCCATGGGCTTAAACAGAATTTAGTTCCACTGACTCTTCTCCCGGGGTGAAAATTGAAGGTGTTGCTGTCTGCAGATTAGTTCTCAGGTGGAATTTCAAAGCCATATATGGGTTGTCTCTTCTTCCCTAGGTTGGATTGCCATCTTGTACCTGGCCTTTCTGTTTGGCTACTCTTCTGTTCCTTTTGGTGACCACAACAAACTCCAACATCTACAAGATGCCCCTCAGTAAAGTCACTTACTCAGAAGAAAACCGCATCTTCTACCTACAAACCAAGAAACCGATGCTTGAAGGCCCTTTGTGAGAGCAACCTCACCCCAGCCATGGTCACAGACATTTCTGACAACTGCTCCAGTTGACTTCTAGCACCTCAGCACACTTTTTCTTCACCAGAAACAACTTGCATAATACTCTCATCCATCAGTTCTTTTCCTTTTTCTTTTTTACTCCAGAAATATCCTTGAGCATATGAGAGCCACATCCAGGTGATGTGCTCTGGTGTGGAATTTTAAACCCTAGTAGGGGCTGGCACTAAGACTGTAATATATTTATAAAGTCAAAATGCTCCAACAGAAGTAGTGAAAGTGAGCTAATCACTGATATTTATTGATATTTTGTGGTAGAGTTGGTCAAATGAAGTTAACAGTATTAAAAATTAAACTTTATTAACCAGCTAAACTTTGTGGAATTCACGGTCACAAAAGTGAAGTTAACTTAGATATAAACAATTTGGCTTTTGAAAATCCATTCAAGTGACAGGTTGCAATTTTGTTCAATATCTCAGGGGTACAGATTGATCACTGGGCTACTCTCCAGTTCCCCAGCACAATAGCCTCCCTATCGCAGTGTGTGTGATTCTTTTATGGGAGGTTATTGGTTTTTTTCAGGCTGACAGCTGTAGGAGGGAGAAAAGGGTTTTGTCAATGAAAATTATTTTGTATGGCCACTTCTCTCAGAAATTGAAAATAGTTTAATAGTTTTTTTGGTAGGTTTTATTATTTTTCTTATGAGAAAATAATTTTTTTCAGTGAGATAAAGTAAGAGAAATTCTTGGATTAACCAGTGTTTTAACATTAAAGAAAATTGGCATATTTATAAAATAATCAGCATAATTATTTATAAAATACTCAACACATTTTTATTTTAATCCTTATGTGATTCTATTAAATATATAGAATCATCATATTTTTCCACAGCCCTTTAAAGTCACATTTTAATTTATTTGAGGACATCTTATAATGATTGGTCCTTAAAGTCAAATTGCTTGTAAGTACTACTTTTAGAAATTGCTAGATCTCCTTTGTGAAAACTTATTTTTGGCTGTATACTAAGAATATTCTTTCTGAGAAACCAGTGGTGTTTGAACCACCAAGAGAAATACAGGTAAATAATTACCCTATTTTCCTTATTTTGAATATGAAAGTTAAGATTTCTGTAAAGGTTCTGTGGCCAAACATGCTCATACTGCCTTCCTTCTCCACACATTTCTGCTCAGCATTTTAGAGGCTGGGAAAGTGAAACTTTGAAATTGGGCAGTAAATAAACCTGTAAATATTTTAGGGAAAAGTTCATGTCTTCCGCTTCTCAGGAAAACAAACACGCAAATACTGTTCCAATTTTTAAAACCCTGTGACGAAAGCCTTTTGAAGCCATGAAATTGCAATTGTCACAGATTTATGGGTATTCCTGTGGAAAAACGAAATTCTTGATGTTTGAACTGAAATCTTCCTTATTAGGGAATTTGTGAAATAAAAGTTGAGGAAAAGAAAAAATATGCAGGACCAAAGACTCTCAGCAGTGAAGAATCTGGGTGTGGCTGAGCATAGCAGAGGCCTCAGACATGGACTCAAACTGACCTTCAGAACCCAGCTCTGCTAAGCTGACGGCAGCACCCTCTCCCTATGAAAATAGGAATATTTTAAAGCCTTGTATGTTGTCTTATTTAAGTAATATTAATTTTCTCAAGCTATATTTATTACTGAGTATTCTAAAATCAAGTGAGAATTCTTAGGAACACTTGTATTTATTTTTACTTTTGTCTGTAATAACAACTTCCTATGTAGATATACTAATAAATTATATTCACAGATCAGTATGTGTCATGTGTCTTTTATAGCTGTTATGGATGTAGGAGAGCGTATCGCTTATATTTGGATGTTCTAGAGCCCCCTTGTTTCTTTCTTATACTAAGTTATAGCCCCAGATGTGTAGTTGAGCAGACCAAGTTCAATTCCCAATGAGCCCAATCCCCTTGGATGCCCACTGTTCTCCTGACTCAGGGATAAGAAAGAGTTGCTGAGGACAGTTGTGGGTGTTCAGGATGTGCTGTTAAAGCTTTAGGTCAGTGTCTTGAAAGCCACATCTGCTCATTCCCACAGGTCCTGAGTACCCTCCAGGGGCAACTCTGGGCTATGCTGTCTGAGATGAGCCCTGCTCAGAACGTTATGTCCAATGAACAAAGACACAGGCTTTCATCAGCGTAAGCTTACTTGATATAAAACATGGGTAAAAATGGAAATAACTTCAACAAGTCTGAGTGATGAGTTCTGAAGAAACACAAACTGGAAGCAAAAGAAGCCACAATGAGGTGTCCCCCATAGAAGTGCTCTTTGTCAAAACAAAACCTTTCTTTACCTATTGTCTTAGTTACTTTTCTCTCATCGCTGAGACAAAATACTCCACACTCAAAATTAAGGAAGGAAAGATTTATTTAGCTCACAGTTTGTGGAGGTTTCAGTCCATAATCAGCTGGCTCCAAGGCAGGGAGACACGGCACAGGGGCAACACTTCAGCAGAAGACAGCAAATGCAAACAAGAGCAAGAGCCGGTGTGGGAGGAGCAAGCTTCTTTTCCTCCCTTACAATCGTGCATGCTACCCATCCACACCATCTCTGTGCCCTCCTCTTGCTCAGGCTCAGGATGTTCACAAAGTAAGGACCCTGGCCCCCTGCTGAGTCACTTAGTTAACCTTCTAAACTTCTCAGATTGACACAATAAGCAGCATCCTAGAGCAAAGGCATGTCCTCCACACACTAGGATGTAGAATAGCTAAGTTAGTCAAGCTTCTAGACTTCTCAAGCTGACACAATGTATCAACACAATCTTAACATTAAATGTCCTCTTTTATCTGAGAAAATATAGACGATTTTGAGGCTCCAGACACCATATACATTTACAAGCTAGAGGTGACAATTTGCATATTACCCAATGCTATGGTTTGAAGGAGTCCCCAAAGTGTTCATGTGTCAGTAATTTAAATCCCAATGCAATAATGTTGAGAGATGGGACCATTAAGAGGTGATTAGATCAGGATGAATGTCCCTATCTGGGAAACGTCTCTCTCTTTTCTCCCTCTCTCCCTCCCCCTCCTCCTCCCTCTCCTCTTCTCCCTCCCCATCTCCTTCCTCCGTCTGTCCTTCCCTTCTCCCCTTTCCTTCCTTCTCTCTCTTTCTCTCATCTGGGAAATAAATCTTTCCCAAGAGCACCTTCAAAATATTTACATCGTTCTGGTGTAACTGGGTCTTATGTCTGTTTCTGCTGCAAAGTAATCTGGGAAAGCATGCATGCAGTATTATCAGCTTCTGATGCAACAGGTGAGCTCTGCCGTATTGGAGCAAAATCACAAGGTATGACTATTAGACAGGTTGCCGGCACATCTTCCAGAGTGGTAGATAGTGCCATTTCACAGTGTATAGTATCACCAATATCCCCACAACAGAGAAAACCAGGTAATAATAGGCAAGACTATCTATTGTGGGTCCCACCAAAAAGTCTGAGACTAAGACCTGCACCAAAACCTTTTACACATGGACAGTTTGTAGAATACGTGCCAGAATATTCCCACAGTTCTTCAGGATGTTCCAGCCTCATACAAGGCTGTTTAGCCTCTAAAAGACTTTAATCAAATGATGAGGCATGATAATGATCAAGCAAGGAAAGCTTAGGATCAATTCATGCTCTAATTAATTATCTTGGTCCAATGGTCAAAGCTGCTAACCATTCCATGGAGAAGGCACCATTGGAAGGAGTTGTGTTTCAACTCAGTTCCAAGTCAATGAAGTGCTGAAAACAAGTGTCCAACATTTTCTGGTTCATGGTTCCAGATAAACAACAAGAAATCCATTTTGCTGTTTGGGTTCGGTCCATTGGATCCCAGCTCATTGAAGCTTTGAATTATATTGCGATGACAAACAAGGACTTGAAAGGGAAGAAATGAAGCACAGAGAAAGTTGGCACAGTACTGAAAAACCTGGCTAAAATTAAGTCCCTTTTACTACAGGGGGGAAAAAATGGCAAATAGGACGTGAGTCTGTGGCCCAAAGGCAAGTGCGTCTTAGAACAATAAGAGTATACACAAGCAGTTCACAGAACTTACCAACCCAACTGATGAAACTTTTTGGAATTCCAAGATCCTCATGTTGGCTTCTCATGGTCCACACTGTCAAACACAACTGTATCACTTTCAAATGAAGTTAGTCTAAATTGAGATCTGCTTCACAAGTAAAGTACACACTGGATTTCCCACACATGGGCCAAAAAAGCTGTATGAGATCTCAGTAAAATTTTACTGGGTGCTTTGGATGCATTGGATTAAATAAAATATAATTTTAAAATTAATTTCACCTTGTAATCCTTTTTAATGCAGGTTCTATAAAATTTTAAATTCTATATCTGGCTTGTATTTGTGGCCCATATTATATTTCTGTTGGATAGCACCAAGCTAGACAGTACCTCAGCTCTGGACAACAAGGTAACTCAGATTTTAAGGTGCTAGAATTCACACATCTGGAAAATTCATTTGTCCCTTAGAATGAACGCTGGATAAGAAGTGCTTCTTCTGTTACAGTGTGGAGAAAGAGTTTCTATTCCAAATAGTTTCTATCAGAAGTCCCTCTGTTCAAAGATTATAATTGTCAACTTACACCTTTCCAAGACTGCTGTACCATGTACACTTGAAGATATTCATTTTTAAAATAAGTAATAACACAGCTACTGAGAGAGGAGGCTGGTTTTCTTTGTGTAACGTTACTCTAAAATCAGTTCCCGAAAAACACTCAGATCTTGATCAGCATTGGGAGAAGTGGGCTACTTCCCAGTGTGCACATGTGCGAGATGACTCTTATCTGTGTATGTAAGTGTCCCTCGGTCCCAAGCAATGAAAAAGTACAGCACCTGAGTGTAGGCAGTAGAAAAGCATGGAGAGTAGAGAAAACTGAAGACTCCACACCCTCATCTAAAAGTACTCACCTCACCTAAAAGTACTCAGATACTTTTTAACACTATGCTGGCTAAACAAAGCACGTAGACACTAGATTTCTTCTGCACATTCCATTTGCAAGTTCTATTCATGGAAACCTCCTATAAATACTCTACAATGTTTCTCAACCAGGAACACATGGGCAAATTGTGAAAAAAGGATTTTAAAAATATAGGTGGAGAAAAGTCCCGCACGTGGTGGTTCATGCCTATAATGTCAGCACTTGAGAGGCTGAGGCAGGGTGGATTACAGTAAATTTTAAAGCTGGCTTGGGCTACCTAGCAAATTTAAGGCCAGGATGGACAATATAGTGAGATCCTGACTCAAAAAAAAAAAATTTAACCGGGCGTGGTGGCTCACGCCTGTAATTCTAGCACTCGGGAGGCTGAGGCAGGAGGATTGTTTGCAAGTTCGAGAGCAGCCTAGGCTACAAAGTGAGCTCGAGGCCAGCCTGAAATGCACAGTGAGACCCTGTCTCAAAAAGAAAAAAAAATAAAAGTACAAATCCAGTTGTTCCCATCCATATTAAACTTTGTGAATCTAAATTTTTTAAGGCACTAAGATGATTTTAATGGGCTCCTACATTAAAGCAAATGCAAGTTTAGAAAATTCAGGGAGTAAAGCCTTCAGTAACCCAGAGTGGCTTCCTGGAAGAAACGCAGCTCCACCCTTGTTCTGATACATTTCCTCCTGGCTCACCTGGACTTGGCTTTGAGAGTTTCCTTGAGATATTCTGGATCCTCTGATGACTGCCCGTTCCAGAACTACTTTAGAACCACACTTTCCAGAACCACAAAGAAATGATGCTTTTACCAAGGAGCCAGTCTTACCAGGTTCTGCAATTCACAGTGCAGATAGTTATACAGAAAGTGTGACTGTTGTGATATAATAAAAAAGCATCATCTCTTTACCAGTTGGAATCTAAGGACCCCAACTAGCGCACACACTGCTGTAAGGACTGGTTCAGTTATACCTACAGTGTGTCAGGCCAATGCCTGCATCAGGTGACCTGAGAGGACAGGTTCATTAAGATGCCTTCACCAGCCATCCACTGTGGGACATAAAATTTCTCCACTCATTCCCTTGAATTTCCAATAAATGTTTTCTAGTACTAGGGAATGACACAGGCTTTTGCAATGATCTGAATCCCCAGGCCTTTTTAATCTTCATTTTTAAATTTTGAGACAGGTGCTTACTAAGTCGGCCTGGCTAGCTGTGAACTCACGGTCGTCATACTCAGTGTCCCAGAGTGCTAGGACTGCAGGTGTGCACACATGTCCAAGAAAAGACTACTATATTGCTGTAAGAAAAGCAACACATTAAAATCTCAGATACTAAAACCCTAGTTGACTTAGTCTCTTTCCGGTCCCTTTCTGCCTGATAGCAAGAGAGAGTCCTATAGGAAAAAAGATGCTAGAGAGCTTAGTTTGAATGGGCAAATTAAAAACCAGTCATGCAGAAAAGGGGCATTAGCATACAGAGGAAGTAAACAAGGAGGAAGAAACACATACAAAGGGAAAACAAGGATAATACACATTTTAAGGCATGTTACCTGCTGAGTTCATCACAGAGAAGAGAGGAGCCGGTTCAGAAGGCCCACAGTCAAATCAGGAGGGGACCTGTGCCAGCAAAACAGTCTGTGTGTTCAGGAATCCTTGTGGATTCAGAAGCAGGTTTCCCCTTTTACGCCCTTTACAATATAGTTACTTCTTTTTCACATAATCTTGAAGTCCCAGACTGGCTGTTCAAATGGCCAGTTATTTGTTGTCTTCTTTGTAGGCCTCCTTCACTCTGCTGGTAACAGTGCCACACTTTCCTTAAGAGATCTGTTCCTT